ATAGGATCACCTTAGGGTCTTATTCTTCCACCCTCTATTTTCCTTAATTTATTTTTTAAATGAAACTTGATCGTTCATATAATTATTATTGATTTGACCTCTTGTCTTTCAATCTAAGATTTGAGTTTGGATCCTCTATCTATCTTCTTGCTTACTCCATATGCTCAATCCCATAGGCTTTGAATCTTAACTCCTTGGTTTTGAGTCCATTGTTTATGCCCATGTCTACCAATGTCTACCGGTTTTTAAGCTTGATATGATGCTTGGCTAAGAAAAACTTTTTACCTTTATAATGGCATTTGATTGTAATATATGGGAAAGCTTGGCATCATAATTGAATTTGAAGTCATATATCATGCGAGAATCATTATATGAAATTTCGAGAAAAGCAATTTCAAAACTCAAGTCTCAAATATTTGTTTATTGATTCCTCATTATATGATTTTACCTAATGTGTTTGTTATGAGAGACTTTCAAAGTCCGCATAAATTTTAAATTAATTAATTTAGTATGCATGTGGATAAATTATTAACATGTATATCTACAAAACGATTTATATTCTTTTGATAGCTTGACATTTTCAGAGTCTATGTAAGTTTATAAGTTAATTAATTTATCTTATATAGCAATAAATTATTGCATATATAAAGTTTTGAAATCATCAATTGTGTGAGACTTTTAAAGTCTTCGCAAATTTATAAATCAAATAACTTATCCTACACAGCAATAAATTATTACCAATACCTTTTAAAACATTTTATCCTTAAGTAAAAATATATTTTTCTAAAAATAAATAAAATAAAATAAAGTATTTTTTGAAAAGTGAACGTATGAAGCTTTCCTAAATCTTATTAAAATATTCTTTACAAAATTATCCCTCAAGATTTTGTCACAAATAAAGAAATAAAATATCTTCATAAATAAAAAGTACAAACCAACATTAAAATTATTTTCTAAAAATTCTTAATTAATATTTTTCTTAAAAAATTTCCAATCAAGAGACACACATTTTTACCTCAAAATACATGGCTTTGATCCCTTAAAAGGATACATAGGCCCTACAATTTTATCCTAGGTTAAGTCCAACTTATAAATAAATAAATAATTTTTTTAATTTTCTTACTTTTTCATCTTATTTTTTATTAAGGATAATTCATATATTTTTTAAAGCTATTTAAATTTATATAGTTAACTTAAGGTAACATTCACATGAATGGATATTATGAGGTGCTTAATACTTTTTCCGCACACAATTAACTCCCTTACCCTTTTCTTCATATATAGACTACATGCCAAAAAAGTTTCTACCATTACTCTTTAAAATCTTGGTGACAACTCCTAAATATTTATTTTTTATTTAATTTTCTTTCTTGAGAAATTTCAGATCGGGCACGACAATGATGATGATATTTTTTAAACATTTCTAAAAAGAAAAAATATACTAGTGATATATATGATGATGATAAATTACAGATCTCTTGACCACAACTTTTTTTTTTTTTTGGCTCAGCTGAAATTTTAACCACAAATCACATAAACTAGTTCATTCACTGAAACTTTTCTGATTGATTATATATAATAATTTTAAAAAAAAATAATCCCTTCAAAGTCAAGGAACTGCCAAAGCATTTTCTTCCAAAGTAGGCATGTGTTGTTAGTGTTATACTGTTCACGAATAGCGTTGCATGGACACACACTATAGCCACTTGGTAATAATTAATTCATTATATATCCATGAAATATATTTTTGTCCGTAGGTATCATGATTACTACCACTATCCATATACTTCCATTGCCACTTAAAAAGTATTCATTAAAAGTGGAGTTTCAGTAGTGGCGCTTCAGATAGTTTCTCTCTTAGAGAGTGAATTTTTTTAATGTAGTTTGAACAACGATCTCAAAATGTCATCACTAAAAATGGAATTGCAATAATGACCCTTTCTAAAAAATTTTCCAAAATGTTTGATTAGTGGCCACTTCTAAGAATTCTACAGCTGACGAAGAAAATTGGTGAACAAGATTTCCAATGACTTTGACAAAAATAATTATTGAAACTCTGTTAATGGTGACTGTGAGTATTTTATTTGTCAGTTCAATATGAGGTGTTTTGAATATATTTTATTTTATTTTGAAACTATGAAAGTTGGAGAATTGAGGCCTAAAAAAATCTCAATTTTCAGACACTGAAACAGTAGCTAATGGTATCGCGACATATGCTCCCTCCTTCTACTTATAAGGCAAAGTTAGAAGTTTTTTTTTTCTATTTATAAATTCTATCATTAAATTTTGATCATAAATTTTTTTTCATTTATTTTCTATTAAATTTTGTTAAAGAAAATATATTATTAAACCATATTTAAAAAGGGATAAATTTGAGAGCTTATTGAATTTTGAGACAAAATTAATAAGTTTTAAAATTTTTCTTCATAAAACATGTTAAAAGTTACTTATAAATATATAGAAGAACATATATTAATCTCATATTGCCACAACTGGAAATACACACTCAAAGCCAAATACAAATTTTTTTAATAAAAAAATTGGCTAGGAATCAATATAAAGGGGGAATGATATTGAAGACACCTAGAAGCTTAGATTATTGCATTTTGGACTCAAAGTTATGGATTCTCTGCAGGACTGCCAGACTCAAGTGAAATTATATTTTAAAGTAAAAAGTAAAAAATGCCTCTGGTGTTGTGATATGTTAAAATTTGAAACTTGTGTTGTAGACTTTTGAATTGTAATTGTGAAATTAAAAAAATATTGATTGGAATGCTGGAAGTCCCCTCCAAGGACAATTGGATTTTGTAGAGTAAAAATTAATATGAATATTATCTTGTTAATGTAGAACATGTATTTGTAAATTTATAAAGTATTTAAATTTTTAGCCTGGTTTGTGTAAAAGTCGAATGGATTAATTCATTGATTGCATATACATCTGGACACATACTTATGTATATCAGAACTCTTAGAGTTGATAATTTTTTTGGATAGCTTGTACAAAGAGTATCTCAAAGGATATATCATATAACAACAAGATATTTGTTTGTTAAAACTTGAACCCTTACTTATCCATCTTTACATTTATTTGGTAATTTTGTAGACATCTTGTAATACTAAGTATGAAATAATTATATAATGATATTTGTCTTGATCCAAAAAAAAAATTATATACTGATTTGTTAAAATCCAAATATGTAGTTGTACTTACGGACATTTAGTTGTCCAAAGCTAAAAACATAATTGTCAAAACCAACACATTAATCCATTCAATTTTTATGTAAACCACATTATTAACATATTATAAATATACGAATGCACATCATATATTAACAAGATAATGTTCATGCTTTTGAAACACAAAATTATTTAGTTATTCTCAGAGGACTTCCAACATTCCAAACAATTAATATTTTCTAACTTTACAATTAAAATTTGAAGATTTATAACACAAACTTAAAACTTCTACATAACAAAATCCAGTTATGATTGCTTGAAGCCTTTCTAATGATATATTTGCCTTTTCAAATCAAGGGCATTTTTGACTTTTTACTTTGAAACTTAATTTCACTTGAGTCATTCAGGCCTGTAAAAAAAATTTGGAGTTCTATGATCATAAATGCAATAACCTTTCTTTTGAGGACTCTCAATGCCATTCTCTCCCTTATATAATAAAACTCTAGGACATGACATTTTAGGAGGAAATCTAGAGCTTGGGAAGATCAAAGAGATAGCCATGTAAGAGATTTTGTTTTCAACTGACTATTCAATTTTTCTTACTGTTCTCTCCACTTTCACTTTTTTTCTTCTGGTTCCTAACTTGGGTTAGTCTCTTTGTTCAAGCTTATCCTAGCGTTAATGATTGGTTAGTGTACGTGTTTCACTCTTTATTATTGCTTATTGATAGGTATATGTCTTTATCTCATCATGAAATTGAAAATTTATAGTTAGTGGCCACCAACTAGCTAGGGATAATTTAGGTTCTTGGTTGAATTGCGGACGGATATTGGGATAATCCTTGAGAGGTTATGTGAGTAATTGAAACTTTCTGTGTTGAGTGGATAGTTTTTCTTTGTATGATAGAGATATCCTATACTAGTCTCACAAAGTCAACTTAGCCATGTTATTGATTGTATTAATTAATAATTATTAATTAACATCGCAAGAGATGTAGAAAAATTAACCAATCAGATAGTATATTAGAGACAGAAATGTTTTGAGATAAAAATGATTGTTCCATCATAAGGGAACATGTAAGGGAACAAAGGGAAATTTTTTTTTTTTTTTTAGGGTTAAACCTCATTTTTACCCTAAACTATACCCTCAAGGATGCCCAATGTCCTAAGCTCTATTAGATCATATATTTTGATGATTACAAAACTAAGAGAAGAGGTATTTGTTATGTATATAAATATAAAAAATTATGGATGAAGACAAAACTTTAAGAGCATGAAGAATCAAGAGAAGATGAAGAACTTTAAAATAAGTTATTTAAATTTGCCTGGATTTAATGTGAAAACTTTAAGAGCTTAATCACTCTCCATGATCATAAAAATAAATGCATCATATGTCTCATTTATATGCATTAGTTACTCATTAGAATTAGCATGTTGGGCACACTACCTGATAGATCATGCAAGAGTCAGGAAGTGATTTAGCGTGATTTATCACCTGTGTTTATGTGATGTCTTAAACGTTGCTTTTGTATGCAAAATCACACATGATAGCCACTAATATCTGTAACACACCAAAATTTTTTTTTTTAAAATAATTTAACTCAACCATAGTTGGGTTACAGCCACCCAACACATTTTTATATCAATAATTTCGATATAAAATATTTTATAATTGGCTTCAACTTACACACTATAACATTTCAGATAAATTTTTACCTCCCACATGCCATTAGGCTAAATCACATTTGTCCATCCTTATACTCCCAACAAGTAAACTAAATCACATTTGTCCATCCTTATACTCCCAACAAGTAAAATAAGCAATTTAGTCAATTTTCAACACAAGCCAGTTATTTGGCCTTATAATCATGCCATTTTAACCAATCCAAAGTAAACCAAATATTAAAATTACAGTCATCCAAATTGTACCAAAAATAGAAATAGTTTGAAAGGCATGATTACATTTATATATTCATATAATTGACAATAAACATAAAAAAGTCCTAATATTGGCAATATAACACATTATAAATCATAAATTAAATACCCAAAAGAGACAGTGGATCTATACCACTAAGCCTCTGGGACTCCTCCACGTGTCACTCTTGGCTCTTCTCCTGAAAATTGTTAACCACATAATGAGACTCAAAAGTCCCAGTAACCAAAGCCAATTTATGATAGTGTATACAAACAGTTAAGTGTGTGCTTACTAAGTGAGAATTAAAAATAATATAATTTCAACAAATATATGAAATATTACAATACACACAAACAACCATCCTTATATCCCTCCATTAACCTCGAGCCGTAGCCCTCACTCGGTGCTAAATTACCCGGCCAAAGGTAGATTAGCCCGAGCCCTTACAAACCACCTATTGAGCTCCAATAGGGGCATACCACGTGGCACATAAATACAACAATAATAGCAAATCTCCCAACACCTCCCACAATAATCAAATAAATTTATAATAATATTGCACAATTATATAATATTACAAAATTTATAATTTTCTCAATAATCACCCAATTAACATGAAGTAACACAAATCACAAATTAAAAGCATGGTTACCTTGTGGCTTTTTCAATAAATTATTCCTTAAAATTTCTCTCTCACCACAATCTTCACCAGTAATACAATCTACAAATAACATATTATTTATAAATATTAGTTTCAATTTTTGAAACTAATAAAATAATTCTAATAATAGAATTAAAAATATAACATAATTCCTAATCTCAATCTTAATACAAATCTATAGTTAATACTATTAAGTATAATTTTTAACTCCTCTTTTAATTATCAATAAACATTAATAATCTAAAAATCAACTTCTAAACTAATTTTTATTATCAAAATTTTCTTTTTATTTCATAAATTCGTACCTAAAATACCCAAAAATTAAAAAAGTAAGTCTCTAGTTTAGAATCATAATCCTATAACCATAATAATTCATTTCTCATCCCAAATAATCATCTAAACCTCAATAAATCAACATATATTTTTAGATCTAGTTTAAAATTTGATCCATAAGCCACAGATTCAAAGATCATCAATAAATTTATACTCTAGAACATTTATTATACTACTGACAACCTCAAAAATCATATTTATTCAACATAAATTCATCCCTCTTCCAGATCTTAAATTTTCTACCACTACAAACTCAGAAACTAAATAAGAAGGATGACTAAGAAAAATTTTAGAACACTTACTTAGTCTTGAAAAGCTTAAAATTACATCCTAAATATCCTATTAAAAACTCTTACCTTAAAAATTTAGATATTTCGCACCGGCAACTCGCTTCTCTCCGCCTCAGCTCGCGCGCAGGAAAGGAATTGAAGAAATGAAGGAACAGGTGAGTTTTTATAAAAATTCAGTGGGTCCCACATTTTTTTTTAATTATTTTCTCTCTCTTCTTCTTCTTTTCTTTTTATTATTATTTTATTATTGTTACTGTTGAGGCGGCGGACGAAGCAAATTCGTTTTCTTCTTCTTCTTCCTTTCTTTTCCTTTCTTTCTTTTTATTATTATAATAATAATAATTTAATAATATTTTATTTTTTTATTTATTATTATTATTTTTTTATTTTTTTTATTTATTTTTTTATTTATTTATTTTGTTTTTTCATACCTTTTTTTTTATAATAATAATTTAATAATACTTTTCAAAATTTTTATTAACCCAAATTAACTATTAAAATTTAAATTGGGATGTTACAATTCTCCCCTCCTTTTAAAAATTTTGTCCTCAAAATTTAAAATTAATAACTATTAACTACTCACTTAATCAAAAAGACGAGGATAATCACGTCGCATACTGTCCTCGGTCTCCCACGTAACATCACCTGGAGTTGTGCTCTTCCAGATTACTTTAACCAATCTAATGGTCTTATTTCTTAATTGCTTGTCCTTATAATCCATAATCCTTTCTGGTCCAGCTCTGAATGTCAAATTCTCCCTGAGTTCAATTTCCTCGGGTTCAATTATATGGGAAGGATCTGGTTGATACTTTTTCAGTTGTGACACATGGAATACGTTGTATATTCCAGCAATTTGGGGTGGTAATGCTACTTGGTACGCTACTGGTCCAACTCGTTTTAAGATCTCAAAAGGCCCCATAAACCTTGGTGTCAACTTCTTAGCCTTAATAGCTCTTCCAACACCAGTTACTGGAGAGATTTTCAAAAATACATGGTCACCTACTTCAAACTCAAGCGGTCTTCTCCTTTTATCCGCATAACTCTTTTGTCTACTTTGAGCTGTGAGTAATTTTTGCTTAATTAAAGCAATCTTTTGGGTAGTCTCATCAACAATGTCTGGCCCCAAAACAGTTCTCTCACTTAATTCTGTCCAACACAGTGGCGATCTACATTTTCTTCCATACAATGCCTCATAAGGTGCCATCTGAATGCTAGAATGAAAACTATTATTGTAGGCAAATTCAGCTAATGGTAAGTGACTATCCCAATTACCTCTAAGCTCAATGGCACACGCTCTTAACATGTCTTCAAGAGTTTGTATGGTTCGTTCTGTTTGCCCATCGGTCTGGGGGTGGTAAGCTGTGCTAAAACTCAGACGAGTACCCATGGTTTCCTGTAATGACTTCCAAAAGTTTGATGTGAATCTCGGATCACGATCAGATACAATATTTGTCGGCACTCCATGCAATCTCACCACTTCTCTTATGTAGATTTTAGTTAATTTTTCGAGAGAATACTTGATATTAGTAGCAAGAAAATGAGCTGATTTGGTGAGTCGATCTACAATTACCCATATAGTGTCATGACCAGAAGATGTTCTAGGCAATCCTGTAATGAAGTCCATAGAAATGCTGTCCCATTTCCACTCTGGAATATCAAGAGACTGTAGCATCCCGGCTGGTTTCTGATGCTCAATTTTGACTTTCTGACAAGTCAAACAACGAGTTACATGTTCAGTTACATCTCTCTTCATCCTTGGCCACCACCAACCACGTCTTAAGTCATGATACATCTTAGTTGCTCCTGGGTGAATGGTATATTTACTCTGATGAGCCTCCTCAAGTAAGATATTTTTCAATCGAGTATCATTAGGCACACACACTCTACCTTTATATCTTACGACATCATCATCGGTCACATCAAAATGTTCAGCCTTTCCAGCCCCAATCTCTACCCTAATCTTATTCAAATAATCGTCCTTCTGCTGCGAAATTCTGATTTCTTCCCAAAAATTATTCTCAAATTCAGTAATATGTAGAGCAGCCAAACGATTTTTGACTACTTCTACATTTACTGCATGAAAACTACTCCATAATTCATGTTCTCTGACCATCATGTGAGCAGTATGTACAAGTTTCCTGCTCAGAGCGTCAGCGACTACGTTAGCTTTCCCTGGATGATACTTCAACTCAAAGTCATAATCCTTCAAAAACTCAATCCATCTGCGCTGTCTCATGTTGAGCTCCTTTTGATCAAACAAATATTTTAAACTTTTATGATCACTGAAGACTTCAAAAGAAGAACCATAAAGTTAGTGCCTCCAAATCTTCAAGGCAAATACCACAGCAGCAAGCTCCAAGTCATGAGTAGGGTAATTTTCCTCATGAGGTCTCAACTGTCGAGAGGCATAAGCCACTACTCGATCCTCTTGCATCAATACACAACCTAAACCTTTCTTAGAAGCATCAGTATACAAGGTATAAGGAGCAGTTGGAACAGGTAAGGTGAGCACCGGTGTGGTGGTCAACATTTTTTTTAGCTCCTGGAAGGCAACTTCACACTCGTTCGTCCAAATAAATGGAGCATCTTTCCTGGTCAACTTAGTCAAGGGCATTGCAATTTGTGAAAAACCCTTAATGAAACGACGATAGTAGCCTGCAAGACCCAAGAAGCTCCTAATCTCTGTCACACTTCGAGGTTGTTCCCATTTCATCACTGCATCTATCTTACTAGGGTCCACCGCTACCCCTTCTTCTGAAACAACATGGCCTAAGAATTTAACTTCTTTAAGCCAAAAATCACATTTGCTCAACTTGGCATAGAGCTTGTGCTCTCTTAATATCTCCAAAACAATTTTAAGATGTCTAGCATGGTCCACCTCATCTCGAGAATAAATAAGTATGTCATCAATAAAGACTACAACAAATTCATCGAGATAAGGCCTGAAGATTCGATTCATATAATCCATGAAGACAGCTGGGGCATTTGTTAACCCAAACGGCATCACTAGGAACTCATAGTGCCCATATCTAGTCCTAAAAGTAGTTTTAGGGATATCCTCTGCTCTAACCCTCAATTGATGATACCCTGATCTTAGATCAATCTTAGAAAACACCGCTGAATTGACTAATTGGTCTAACAAATCATCAATTCGAGGTAAGGGGTACTTGTTCTTGATGGTTACCTTATTCAATTGTCTATAATCAATACACAATCTAAGGCTTCCATCTTTCTTTTTCACAAACAGTACCGGTGACCCCCATGGCGATACACTCGGTCTGATAAACCCCTTCTCTAACAACTCTTCAATTTGTCTCTTCAACTCAGCTAACTCCGATGGAGACATCCTATAGGGTGCCTTAGAAATAGGCCCCGTACCAGGTACGAGTTCAATCGAGAACTCAACCTCTCGTTCTGGAGGCAAACCGATCACTTCAGTAGGAAAGACGTCAGGGAATTCTCTCACTACTGGAATCTGATCTACACCTTCTTCAATCTCTGCCTTGATTGAGAAGAAAATCATAAAAGCTTGACAGCCCTTTCTTATACACTGTTCTACTTGAGCTGCAGACAATAACATAGGACTTTGGGACTCTACAGGGGTTACAGTAAGAGCTGAAGTGACACACTCTTTTTCTGACAATTAAGTACAGCTCCATTTGCAAACAACCAATCCATCCCCACAATAACATCAATCCCAGACAAAGACAAACAAATGAGGTCTATGGTGGTCTTTCGACCCTCATACTCAACCTCTACATTTAGACATGCCTTAGCAGTCCTTACAGTCAAACCAGCAGGAGTAGAAATCTTCACATCAAAAGGTAAGGTACACACAGGCAATTTACATCTTTTCATACATTCATCAGACACAAAAGAGTGTGTAGCACCCGAATCAAACAAAGCACAAATATCATTATCAAGGATTCGGATTATACCTCGGATAGCATTAGGGTTATTAGTAGCCTCCGGCCCAGAGAGGGCATACACTCGTGCTGGCACTGTAGGTCTCTGATCATTACCCCTATTTTGGTTTTGATAGCAGAATCGGGCAATATGACCAGGCTTCTGGCAGATGTAACAAACCCAACAATCACCAGAATGAAACTTCCCACACTTACTGCATGCTTGATTACTAGCAGCACTAGGAGTAGGATTAAAGGTAGCTGGGCTCCTATAGGACCCTTGACTTCCACTCTGATTCCCTCTGTAGCTCTGGCCCTTATGATAGTAGCCCTTCTTCTTCTGATTTCTAAAGCCTCCAAAGATTTGACTGCTCCTCTTCTCTACTCCACCAATGGGTCTGGTGTGGATAGGGGGTTTCCCATGAGGTTCTTTCCTCCTCTCTCTATCAGCTTCTAATCTAGCCTCTCTCTTCCTCCGAGAAACTATTCGAAGCTTATTGCACATCTCACTGAATGTCTTGATCTCAAAAGGGGCTAACTGTTCCCTTAGATCAGGCCTCGCCTTCTCTAGTAATCGTTCAGCCATCCACTCTGTATCTTCATGTTTCTGGAGGTAAGTAGAGTATTTAGATAATTCTGAGAATTGTTCAATAAATTATCCTCATCTAAATCACCCTGGCGGAATGCATGAAACTCAGCCTCCTTTTCTGCTCTCAGTGCGGTAGGAAAATAATTCTCGAACAATATGGCTTTAAAATCTTCCCAAGTAAGAGAGGAATCATCCTTCGGTCCTGATGTTTCCCACCATTTCTTAGCACTCTTCTGTAGTAGGAATATTGCCAGCTGCACCTTTTGATTAGAAGTGCACACAACCATACGAAAAATACTCTCCAATTGATCTATCCATTCTTCAACCACCGCCGGCTTAAGATTTCCATCGAAAGTAGGAGGATTAAACTTACAAAAAGTAATCCAATCTTTGTGATCGTGGATGTCTGTTGGTCAGAGTGGAGACTCACATTCTTCGGACTAGTCTCATGGTGAGAATAAGGAGGTAAGCCTTCATCAGCAGATTGGCTCACATTGAATACCTTGGTATGGCTTCCTTCTTGTTGGTCATTTCCCTCTCGGTTGTCATTCTCCTTATATTGTCTTAAAGCGGCCAACTCTTCTTCTTGTCTCTTCATGCGGTCACTAAGATTATATAGTAGATCCATCATTTGCCTCATGGTTGGCTCATCCTGCCTTAGTTGTGACTGTATAGGCTCGCCCTGCCCGATTTGTTGCTGTGTGGGCTCCGGTTGTGGTAGTGAAGGTATGTCATTTCCTATTGGCTCTATAGAATCACCGGCAATTTCACCACCTCTCCTAGTTTTGGACACCATCTCTCCCCTCCTAAAGGATGGAAGTCACATAATTAAGTTAACACTAATCTCAAGAAAGAAAAATAATGGAGAAGCATTATGATTTAATAATGTATATTGCCAATAAACTAGGTTAATGTATAACAATTTCATAATTTATAAGAATTGGAAACATGTAGCTCTGATACCAAAATTTGTAACACACCAAAATTTTTTTTTTTAAAATAATTTAACTCAACCATAGTTGGGTTACAGCCACCCAACACATTTTTATATCAATAATTTTGATATAAAATATTTTATAATTGGCTTCAACTTACACACTATAACATTTCAGATAAATTTTTACCTCCCACATGCCATTAGGCTAAATCACATTTGTCCATCCTTATACTCCCAACAAGTAAACTAAATCACATTTGTCCATCCTTATACTCCCAACAAGTAAAATAAGCAATTTAGTCAATTTTCAACACAAGCCATTATTTGGCCTTATAATCATGCCATTTTAACCAATCCAAAGTAAACCAAATATTAAAATTACAGTCATCCAAATTGTACCAAAAATAGAAATAGTTTGAAAGGCATGATTACATTTATATATTCATATAATTGACAATAAACATAAAAAAGTCCTAATATTGGCAATATAACACATTATAAATCATAAATTAAATACCCAAAAGAGACAGTGGATCTATACCACTAAGCCTCTGGGACTCCTCCACGTGTCACTCTTGGCTCTTCTCCTGAAAATTGTTAACCACATAATGAGACTCAAAAGTCCCAGTAACCAAAGCCAATTTATGATAGTGTATACAAACAGTTAAGTGTGTGCTTACTAAGTGAGAATTAAAAATAATATAATTTCAACAAATATATGAAATATTACAATACACACAAACAACCATCCTTATATCCCTCCATTAACCTCGAGCCGTAGCCCTCACTCGGTGCTAAATTACCCGGCCAAAGGTAGATTAGCCCGAGCCCTTACAAACCACCTATTGAGCTCCAATAGGGGCATACCACGTGGCACATAAATACAACAATAATAGCAATCTCCCAACACCTCCCACAATAATCAAATAAATTTATAATAATATTGCACAATTATATAATATTACAAAATTTATAATTTTCTCAATAATCACCCAATTAACATGAAGTAACACAAATCACAAATTAAAAGCATGGTTACCTTGTGGCTTTTTCAATAAATTATTCCTTAAAATTTCTCTCTCACCACAATCTTCACCAGTAATACAATCTACAAATAACATATTATTTATAAATATTAGTTTCAATTTTTGAAACTAATAAAATAATTCTAATAATAGAATTAAAAATATAACATAATTCCTAATCTCAATCTTAATACAAATCTATAGTTAATACTATTAAGTATAATTTTTAACTCCTCTTTTAATTATCAATAAACATTAATAATCTAAAAATCAACTTCTAAACTAATTTTTATTATCAAAATTTTCTTTTTATTTCATAAATTCGTACCTAAAATACCCAAAAATTAAAAAATTAAGTCTCTAGTTTAGAATCATAATCCTATAACCATAATAATTCATTTCTCATCCCAAATAATCATCTAAACCTCAATAAATCAACATATATTTTTAGATCTAGTTTAAAATTTGATCCATAAGCCACAGATTCAAAGATCATCAATAAATTTATACTCTAGAACATTTATTATACTACTGACAACCTCAAAAATCATATTTATTCAACATAAATTCATCCCTCTTCCAGATCTTAAATTTTCTACCACTACAAACTCAGAAACTAAATAAGAAGGATGACTAAGAAAAATTTTAGAACACTTACTTAGTCTTGAAAAGCTTAAAATTACATCCTAAATATCCTATTAAAAACTCTTACCTTAAAAATTTAGATATTTCGCACCGGCAACTCGCTTCTCTCCGCCTCAGCTCGCGCGCAGGAAAGGAATTGAAGAAATGAAGGAACAGGTGAGTTTTTATAAAAATTCAGTGGGTCCCACATTTTTTTTAATTATTTTCTCTCTCTTCTTCTTCTTTTCTTTTTATTATTATTTTATTATTGTTACTGTTGAGGCGGCGGACGAAGCAAATTCGTTTTCTTCTTCTTCTTCCTTTCTTTTCCTTTCTTTCTTTTTATTATTATAATAATAATAATTTAATAATATTTTATTTTTTATTTATTATTATTATTATTTTTTATTTTTTTATTTATTTTTTTATTTATTTATTTTGTTTTTTCATACCTTTTTTTTTATAATAATAATTTAATAATACTTTTCAAAATTTTTATTAACCCAAATTAACTATTAAAATTTAAATTGGGATGTTACAGTATCCATGCAAGTTTTAGCAATTGTGTTTCATAACATTGTGTCAAAGGCCATTTCATGCGTGAGGACTGATGGTAGCCACACGTGATTTATCACTTATTACTCAAACACATATTGCTATACTAAATCTTAAGTCATCTCAAGCTAAATTCATTTTGCTCAAATGTATGATATGTGATTCACACATCCATATTTCTAATCATGAAAAATCTTGCTTGAGTTCATTGCACTTCTACGTGTGAAATGTACCCAGACTAGTTTGAGCCTTACTGCCTACTATTTCACATGTGAGTAAAGATGTGATCTACATGTGATTTGTCCTCCTGACTGGACTAAGTTTGGAGATGGTTATTTCACACATGATAGCTTTTTGGTTCCACATGAGTTTTATACATAAGAATTGACTTTGGCATTTTGCCAGCCATTTCATGCATGATAACAAGTTGTTTCCATGCAATTTTTATCACAAAAAATTGGTGTTGGCTTTTTGCAAGCTAAACTACACATGAGAGCTAAAGGTTTGCACGCAAGTTCTAGCACATAGAACTAAGTACATATTTATATATGCAAAACCACGCATAAGAGATCATGAGGTTCATGCATGATTTATTAGATACACATATCTGGAACATGTTGAGAGCAATTTCACATGTGATTCAATAGGTCACTCGTAAAAAATTACACTAACAACTAGAAATACTATTCCAATGGTCTATCAACTACTAAAACTATATATGTGATTCATTTCAAGCTTGAACAAGAACTTTTAATTCTTGAGCAAGCTTATCTTTATCTGAACATTTAAAAAGCTTTTAAATTGTGCTTAAATATCTTGCATTCATTCATTATTTTTGAAAAGAATTGTGAAAAAGCTCTTACAAGTTTATAAACTTTCAACTATAATTTATCTACTCTTTAGGAGAATCTCTTTGTGAAAGTTTATTTCATTCATCTGAAATCTTAAAAAAGTATTTTTCAAGTAGTTGTAAAAACTTGCTGAATTGCAGCAAGGTTTTTTGGTTGATTCAAGACGAGTTAAGTCCTAGGAGTTCTATTGCAATGGCAAGCATCTATTAAAGCTTGTGAATTTAATGAGAAATCTCAAAATGTGATTTTGAGGACTGGACGTAGGTTAAATTTGAGGCTGAACCAATATAAAAATTGTGTGTCTCAACTTCTTTCTCATACTAAAGCATTTCACTCTTTTAAGTTTTCAAAAGTTTTAAGTGTCACCCAATTCATCCCCTTCTTGGATGCTAGTCTATCCAACAAACTCTATTTTGGTACATTTCCCCCTTAAAGATACAAAATCAAGTTATTCTTGTCCTTGTCATCAAATCCAATTAAGTTTGACTGTTGACCATTCAAAAGTTTGAGGTAATTAAGAAAAATCTATTTTGCATATTTGTATGTTAATTGGTTAAAATTTACAAAATGATTTTTTTTAGAGAAAATTAGCTCAATGGCCTTAAAAAATACAACTCTCATAAATTATGGATGAGGTTTTTAAATATTTTGGAATATAGCACATTTATAAAATCAATTAGAAGTATTTTTTCTTTTTTTTCTCAGAATAAATTTATTATTAAAATAAAATGTATCTGATTTAACTAATCTTTAACTAACTGAATATTTCATTTTTATCATAAAAAATCATATTGTGCATGTGATAAGAATTGTTGTTTGCCTTCAAAATTAAACTAAAGCTAACTCTAATGCAATATAGGGCCAACCCTAGGTCATCTCCCAAGGAATGGTCTTAGTCTAATTGAAAGTTATCTAGTGAAATAAATCAACCAAAGTTTATAAGAATTTAGTTACCTAGCTAATTATCTAAACCAAT